TCCCTCTCTCTCTCTCTCTCTCTCTCTCTCGGGTCTCTGCGGGCTATCTTCTGTCTTCACTGTCATACGCACTGTCCCTCTGGGGACATCGAGCTTAGCTCTGGTATGGTGGGACACTTTGTAGCTGTTACAGTCAGGATTGGAAGTCTTGTTCACTCAAAATCTCTCTCTCTCTCTCTCTCTCTCTCTCTCTCTCTCTCTCTCTCGGGTCTCTGCGGGCTATCTTCTGTCTTCACTGTCATACGCACTGTCCCTCTGGGGACATCGAGCTTAGCTCTGGTATGGTGGGACACTTGTTTTTTCCTACAGTCAGGATTGGAAGTCTTGTTCACTCAAAATCCCGACAGTATGGTGCACTGATTGCTTTTTAAATCAGGATATGCTATGCCGTTGTGTTAGATTGTATAAGGAAAACCAGAACAAAGGCAGCCTCTGCACGGAAATTTTAGAAACAGTCCTAGCATGGAGAGGGGCGGCTTCTGGTTCCCTTAACAGTCTTAGTTCAGTGAATCGGCTCTGGTTTCTTCCCACTCCTACACCCAGCCCACGCACTGGACATCACCCAGTGCCTACTGAGATCTTGTGACCAGAGCAGCCTGCTGGGTGCCAAATGCTGTCATGGGTGTGTGCAGTGTGCCCCTACTTTAATTTTTACATAAGGAAGCTTAAAAAACACAGGTTAAGGTCAGCCATCCCAAAGGAGTCCACCAGTTAGTTGCTTAAGGATGAGAAAGAACATGCAAACCAACCAGGCTCCTTCTGAGTGGTATGGTGTGGAGAGTCATCTCCCTGCCAGTGTCAGCTGAGGGGGATCTTGATTCAAGAAGTTGCCTGTGAAGGACACTAAGGTCTGTGACCCAGTCAAGAAGGCAACCCAACCTCCCACTGGTGTGCACTTTCAAGTACTGCTGGGTGACAGGTGCCACCTTGCCTCGTGAGGAGGTTAACTGTGGGTGCTTGTGAGTTTGGAGAAGAACACTAAAATGTTCTTTGTTGCCCAAAGAACTAGATAGAAAGAAAACTGAAAGTCCTTGCGTGAGTGGAGACCAGGACGGGGGCTGGGGGTTGGGGAAGCTCTCAGCCTTGCAGCATCTCTGTGGTGTCTTTTAAACATCCTGTCTTTGAAATACTGAATTGCATGTGGCCCTTGCTGATGAAAAGACTGTTTTGTCCTGCTCTGTATGGGGTGGGGGAGACAGTCTGCCCTTCCTGGATGCCATGTTAGCCTTTAGGGTTCAGAAGGTTGGCTGTCTTCTTAATCACGACAATAAACCATTTCTAATGGAGGGGAGTGGAAATGCTGACCTCGAGCTGTGAAAGCTCACGACAATAAACCATTTCTAATGGAGGGGAGTGGAAATGCTGACCTCGTGAAAGAGCCTCTGTGATGGGGCCTTCTGAACCTTCCACAGATCCCAGCAGACTGCAGCCTCCTCCTGCCCCCACCCAGGGGGCCTTGTTCCAATAGGAAGTGGGCCCTGGGGTGTGCTCTGTTATTTCTCTGTGTGTAAATTAGAAGAGAGCACAGAAAAGAAAATGAGGGGATGGACGTGTGGCTCAGTGGGTAGGGGGTTTGCCTAGCATGCATGGAGCCCTGGCTTTGATCCCCAGCACCACATAAACAAGCCATGGCTGCTTACACCTAGAAAGTGAAGGCAGGAAATGAAGGAGTTCAAGATCATCCTCGACTCTACATCAAATTTGGAGGTCAGCTTGGGCTACCCGAGGCCCTCCCTCAAAAGGGGTGGGGGGCGAGCTACTTGGTGAAGTCCTTTTTGTCTAGATTCTTGTTTCCCCTTCCCTCACAACCAATCCTGTGCACAGGCCCCAGCTAACAGACCCCCTGCCTCCCATCTGCCAGCCACAGTCAAGGACACCCTGACAAAGTCCGTGTGCTACGTAGATTGCCCATCAGTCAACCGTGGTGTCAAGCCCTTCCTTCCTCTGGGGGACCTCTCTCTGCTTGACCTTTCTACAGTGCCCCCACCATGTCTATGGCATTAATAATGCTTAGTAAATCTCTCACCCAAATAGCAGTTAGCCTCACTGTTCACGCAAGCCTGAACCTTTCCCAAGCCCTCCATTCTCAAACTAATACCTAGAAATTTCACAGTTTCAGAATGACAGCAGTCATAGTAGGTCAAACTGTAAGAGAGCCAGGTGGCACAGTCGTAGGCTCTCAGAATACATTGGGTCATGTGAGTCCCCTTATTAAAAGAGGGCGCAGGTATCTTGTTTTGCAGTTGAGAAAAGTGGGGGTCTTTCCCTGCCCTGAGCACCTGGCAGAGCAGTAGGTCCCCGAGACAGTGACTGTCATAGGGTCTCCTGGCTAGTGCTCATTTTCAAAACTCACAAAGGCTTTTTACTGCCAGGTGTGGGTGTGGCTCACCCACTGGAAACAACCTTGAATTGGGAGGAAAAGGAGAGGTACAAACAGCCCCCGGGTCTGCCAACCCCAGTGCTCTGTACATTTGCTTCCAGAGTCAGCTCTGGACCAAGCCCATAATCCTGGTGGTGCTCCTGGCTGGAGTGTGGGAAAGCTAATGCTTAATGGTTTCCTAGGGGCTCCCCCACAAACAACCCTCACTCCTGTGCATTGTTAATTTCTGGAAATCTATTTGTACAGGTTAAAGGAATACTTGGGGCCCTGGGAATTTCGCACAGCAAAAGGAATACAGGGGCCTAGGGAAAGTGTTGGCATTGCTTACAATTATTACTGCCTGTGAATGGATCACTGCATAGCGTCTTCCTCTTCCAAAGGCAATAAAAACAGGGGTGACAGGAGGAAACCTTCAGTTTTTCTGGGTGATCCTGGAGCAGTGATGTGGCATTCATTGATTGGCTGGCTGCTCACTGAGTGTAGTTCGGACAGCTCACAGGCAACAGCTGTAGCATCGGAGTCTAAGAACCAAACAGACAGAAGCTCCTGGTTTATTTAAGATGATGATGGTGATGATGGGGTGCCTTTACACAGAGAGGTGGCCCTGCACGGCCCTTGCCCCTGGTGGCTTTACTGCTGTCTCACAGGCATCGGGTGACTGTTGAATTTGTAAGTGGTTAGAGCAGTGGGTCCCGGCAAGTTCCTGAGGGCAAACCTTTAGAATAGTCTTTGAAAAGAGCATGACATTTCACCTAGGTGTGCGTGGTGCCTGTGACAGATCAAGAGCAGTCTGCTTGAGCTTGTCTATAAATCTCAGCAGAGGTACCCGGGCTTGGTATGGATTTGGAGTTGGCATCTTCCTACATACTGTGTTTTAATTGTTAAAACTGGCAACACCACGGGGTAGAACTCACGATGCACAACTCCTGTTTGCACTTACCTGTTAACTTGTCACAGTTGTGTGCAACACAGTGAAGCTGCTATCTGAAACCTTTCTACCAGTGTTGACAGACTGTCCTTGTGCTTCGGGGTGTCAGTCCCCTCTTCAGGAAGAAACGAAATGCAAATACCAGACCAGCCAGCCTGCCTGCTGAAGTTCCCCGTTGCCTCAGTGACATTGCAGTTCAGAGATTGCTCATCCTGTGGCCAAGCAACGTTGCTCACCAGGTTTCCCCCCTTGTTTCCTAAGGTTCGCCATCGATGGTGTGAACTGGTGGTTAAGCACAAGTATGCAAAAGCATATGAGCAGGTGGAGAGGTTCCTGCAGGAGGATCAGGTGAGTGTGACTTTCCCAGAGGTGGGAACTGGCTGGCTACCTTTCACTAGTCCCGGGTTCTCCACGTCTCTGAGAGAACAAATACCTGAAAGGGTTTCAAACAATTAGATGGGACAGTTAGCATTTGCGGATTCACCGGATGGATTGTGAGTGTCCTTCAAGTGGAGCGGCACGCCACAGAAGCTCCTGTCCTCTCTCCTGTCTGTGCATGGAGGATGGCCTGATATGAGGCTCGCCCTAAAAAGTCCAAGGCCACTGTGTAGCAACACCATGGGTCCATCCTGTTTGTAGAGACTCTAATTGCAACCATAGCATGTGTGTGAGTCACCTGGGAAATCCTTGGGTCATCCTTTGGGAGGTCAGGCCAGCCTAGGAAGCAGGCATGCGCGTTTTCTCTCTCTCTCTCTCTCTCTCTCTCTGCTCCCCCTCTGCCCCTCTTCTCTCCCCCCTCTCCCCGTCTGTGTCTGTGTCTGTGCTGTCCATAACGTCGTCTGCCACCTTTTTGGTGTGTAGCACATTTTGGAGTCACCACTCAGGGCACCTCCTCTGACACTCTGCACCTCATGGCGTGTCCCCACATGACCTCCCCCACGAACACACATGTTCTCTCCCAACCCCAGCCTGTGCCTCTGGCCAGCTTATGCGCACACCGTGGGCTGATGGGTTAGAGCCACTTTGAATAGAGTGGAGAGTAGGGGTGGGGCGGACAAAGGACTTTTGACAGGGTCTGAGTACAGGGGCAGTCAGTGAAGTGAGGGCTGGTTATTCCCATAAAGAAAGTGATGTGACTTTGTTACAGCAGAAATGTCACATTTGCACAGTGAGGTATTTGAGGGAAGCTGGGGCTGGAGAGATGGCTCAATGGTTAAGGGTACTGACTGCTCTTCCAAACGACCAGGCTTCAATCCCCAGCACCCACATGGCAGCTCACAGCTGTCTGTAACTCCATTTCCAGGGGATCTGGCATCCTCACACAGATATATATGCAGGCAAAACCCCAATGTACATAAAAAATAAATCATTTAAAAAAGGCATTTGAGAAAGCAGACAGAACAGAGTTAAGAACAGCTCAGTGGATGACAGCCACGCTGTCCACTGCACAGGGACCTCCATGCCTCAGCCTAGCAGGAAAGTACTTTGGGAGCCACTGCTGAGTTTTTATCTCATGCTGCCTTTGAAGTCCTTTGAATCTGAAGCAGAATGTGGCCCTGGGGAAGTTCCATAGAACAAGAAAGCAGGCAGAACTCTTGGTCTTGCAGAACATAATTGGCTGTCTTTAATGTTGGCGCAGTGCAAATTCAAGCCTTTGTAGCACTGTTTTCAAAGCAGAAGAGCTAGTATCTGATGTTCTGGGACCTAGTGGTGAGAAGTGGCCAGGCTGGGCCAGAGTGACAACATCTGCCCTGCCTACTCTGCTCTGGGCCATGTGGTCTCTTGTGGCCTGGTAGGTGATGGTCTTGGTGAACAAGTTCATGCCAGCTACCCTTTGGGATGTCCTGACCTGACAGATACAGGGTTTTCCATAGTGACCATTTGGGGAGCTCTGTCTCTGCCCAGAGTGTTCCTGAAAGTAGCTGCTTTGGGACATCTTATCACTAAGCATCAGAGTGATAGAATCAATAAAATTCCATGTTTCTGTGTGGTGGTGGTGGTGGTGGTGTGTGTGTGTTGGGGGGTGGGGTGGCATAGAGTGTCATGATGTGGCTGGCTGGCTTAGAATTCACTATGTAGACCAGGCTAGCCTTGAACTCACAGATCTACTCTGCTTCCCGGTGCTGGGATTAAAGGCCTGTGCTACCAAAGGGTTTTGATGAAGACAAAGTGGAGATAGAGTAGAAACGGCAGACTGCATTTGGTCAGCTGCACGGCTGGCTGTTTCTTTTCTCTCATTTATGTCTTTGGGCCAGCTTGTGTAAAGCAAGTACAGACACGTATAGCCTCTTTACCCTGTCCCGTTCTTTTCTGGGTCCCTGCCCTGCAGGCCATGGGTGTGTATCTCTATGGGGAGCTGATGTTGAGCGAGGATGCCAGGCAGCAGCAGCTTGCCCGAAGGTGCTTTGAGCGGGTGAGGGAACACATGGACAGAGCCTCGGCCCAGGTGGTGTCTGAAATGCTGTTTTAAAGAGGTAATTCTTGCTTTCCTGTTCTCTCCTGACCATCCAAGCCGATTTGTCAGCCATGTGATGCATGACATGAGGGCCACCACTGTACCAGAAGTCTGTGTAAGGGCTGCCTGTCTTGGGGACAGGAGGGCTCAGGATCCCTGGAGCCACCTCATCTATCTTTTGGAACTATGGGTGTGAAACAGAGGTGCCTCCCGAAGGCATAATGGCCCCCTAGCACTGCTGTGGCCACCTGGGGTCTTGCACAGATCCAGATCTGCAGGTTTCATGGTTAAGGTCAGCCAGGGTTCCATGACCACACTGTTGTGCTCCCAGCTTCTGCATGCGGGCATCTCTCCCAGGCCTTGTCAGCCTGAGGAGACTCCGTTGCCCCTGTCCTCCTGACCTGTGAAGTAGGCAGCAAGAGTATTCCTGTCCACCCACCTGGCTCAGTGGCACTTGTGTGAGGTAGGCAGCAGCCCCCCCCCCCACCATGACACTTGTGTCCTAAGGGCATGACTGTTTCCACCTCCTGCTGTGGCGGGGTTACCCTGGCTCCAGAGGTCTTGGCTGTGTGTGCCTTGCCTCCCCTGTAGCCTCGTGTGTCGTTGAGACACAAAGCATGAAGCTCTGTCAGCAGACATACGGGTTTCCCTCACATCCATGTCGTCATCCCTCCATCTTCTCAGAGTTTCTCCATGGCGGTACATGATGTGATGTCTACTTTTGTGTATGTTTTAGAATTTTGCATCGGGTCTCAATCATTGTTGGTGTTACTTTGTTCTCTGTGATTTCTGGTTAATGAATGTTTAGAATTGTGCTGCTAGTCATTGTTGGACATCAGTTTATGTTCTCACATGTCGCTTTCACAAAGCCCACATCTATGTAACATGTTTGAGTATTTTATTTATCTGAAAGAACTATAATTATGAAGGGAAAACATGTTTCCTCAAGCACAACCATGTCCTTGCAGAAGAGGTGGGGACCACCATGGCCAGGCGTGGAGATGGATGGGGGCGTGCCATGAGTGACTGTACATGCTGCTGAGCCCGAGCTGACCCTCAGCTTCCCAGCTCCCCTGTGAGCTCCCTCTGCAGTCCCTCCAGGTGAATGCCTGGCCACAGCAGCTCTGGAGACAGTGTGGATGGGAGTGAGAGATGTTCCCTGCATGTCACACCTTCTGTCAGAGAAGTCCTTCCTCACCTGAAAGAGCCACAGAATCCCAGGCCATTCAGAATCTGCAGTTTGAGAACAGGCTGTGTCCTCAGAGTTAAAGGTCACATACCCAGCGCAAGGCCCCCTAGATGTTTGTCACGTAGCTGATAAACGCGTCCTTTGTCTCCTGTTCCAAGGCTCCTCTATACAGGGCAGCTAGCAGGCTGAACAGCAAGCAGCAGGCAGCAGCCCTGCAGGTGTGGTAGGCTCAGAGGCAGTGTGAAGGAGGACACCCAGTGCCCGCGGACAGGAGTGGTAGGGCATGGCGCTGCCCTCAACTGCTCTGGCTGCTTGGGTTCCTGGCATGCTGATTTGTGACTTGAGATTAAAATCACATTGCCAGGGATTACCACGCAACCATGACCTTGGCTGCTTCTGCAGATCCGTGGCTACTTTCTCTCTGCAGTTCGGGAACAGATGCAACTTGTGGCTCTTTGGAAACAAAAGAAGCCAGCAACCTTCGAAGATGCTCACCAGCCCTTTAATTATGGCCGGCGATGACCTCTCTAACAAGGTGCAGAGCTTAGCTGATTGGTGAACAGTGATTGGTTTCCGCTTTGTTCACAGTGGCTAAGTTCTGCACCTGAAGAGAAGGTGAGATGGGGACAGTTAAGTTGCAGCTGCCGGGCAGAGGCCACTGCTGCCAGGTGTGGACACAGCTGGTGGTCGGCTTGGTGTGGAACAGAGATCCCAGAGGAGGAGAGACCAGCCTGACCTAAGGGTGTGTTGTCAAGGGTGAAAGCAGTGTGTTGACTGCCCTTAAGTGTGTCTACAGAAAACACAGACCCACCAAGCATCTCACTTATGTCAAATGTCTCAGAAATCGCAAAAAAACTAAATCCAGATTCATCACAAAGGTTGAGTTGGATGTGTCTCCGCCAATGCCACATGTGAGGGAGGGGCCTGTTGTTCCCACTGGGCATGGTGAACTCTCTCTTGTGTTTGCAGCCCAGGTCTCCAAGTCTCCACAGTCGCTGGCAGGATGATGCCGAGGGCACACCAGGAGGCACCACCCAGCTGTGATTGGACCCGCCCTCCGGTGCCTACTGAGCTGATATCAGTTCTCATTTCACACACTGGCTCAGTTCAGCAGGAACAGGAGTCGAGCCCTTGAGCAAAACGCCTACCCACCTGTAGTAGGTGCCTGAGGCGGGCCTCCCGAGGAGAAGATGAAGAAGGGCCTGCCTGCATGTCTGGTGCCAGACCCGCAGTGGTATCCCTCCCTCCCTCCCTCCCTCCCTCCCTCCCTCCCTCCCTCCCTCCCTCCCTCCCTCCCTCCCTCTCTCCCTCCCTCCCTCTCTCCCTCCCTCCATATGTGTGCCTGGGGTGGGGATCTGAGGAGTTAAGAAGTGGCCCTGGAAGGATGAGAGTAGGAGTGAAGCTAGCATACCCTGCCATCTGCTGAGTCGAGCCTTCTGAAGCAGAGTGCCTGTCCGAAGGGGCTCTTTGCATGGCCACCTTGTCACTGAACCTCTCCGGGCTTCACAGCCCTGCATGGCCTGTGGAGTGACCCTGCACCCTAGGCCTAGGATTGTGAGGTGTGGCTCCAGGCTTTTTCCTGTTCTCCCATGAAAGCTCCCTCTCAAGTGGAGGAACTCTTGTCAGGAGTGACTGTGGTGACAGGGTAATAAATTTTATTGCTGTTTTTTTCACAGGATAGATCACAGTGAGATTCTCTTTCATATGCCTCCTCCTAGCCCTGGTGGGGCCAAGACTGCACTGACCCTGGACATCAAAGGGAGGATTATGTGGCTGCTAAAGCCATCAGCCCACAGCAGCAGTCGGTCATTCGCATCTTGGGCTTCTGGCTCCCAGAGACTGGGCTCCTGTGGCATATATAAAAGGCGGAGCCTCATAAACTGTTGCACCTGGCAACTGCCTTTGTTCCCAGTCCTGGAGAGACTGGGTCTACACACTGGAACTGAGCTGTGACTTGAAGGCAGTTGTTCAAAGAATGAAGGATGCCCTCCCCTAGGCAGATGAAGAGCCAACTGCCTGCTTCCTGTGATTGCAAAAACTAGCTTCCATGGTCTGAGATGCCAGCATCACGCGACACCCCCTGTGACTGGTCCCCAAGGATTCTGCCTTTTGATGTGTTCAGTCAGTAGAACATTTCTGCTTTTGCAAACGCAGGGAAGCCTGAGCTGTCTTAATAAAGGAGCAGATTTGCTGGTATAACTGTTTATTTCTGAACCTGATGCCACTTTCAAGCGAGGAGGGGCGTGTGTCAGAAAAGGCATTTCGCACACCTTCTAGCCTTTCCTACCTCCAAATCCCTGGGGAAACCTCCGGGTACTGTTAATTCTGAGAACGCTGAAAGCGAAAGGAATTAATGCAGTGTGGGACTCGACTCTCTTCCAAAAGGTGGCGTCTCGGGAGTCTCTGATGAGACGGTTTATTTCTTTCCTTTGAATATTAACATATAGAACAAGTTGTCCAGAGAAGGATGCTGTCACTACCATGGTTGTGGTCACATGTGCCCAGACAAGGCTGAGCCATGTGAGAAGGAAGGAACCAGAAGGAGCAAGCACTCTCCTGCCTGGCTGGCCGGGTTCTGCATTCAGGCCTGCTGGGCAAGGGAGGCTCTAGGACGGACGGACAGACAGATGTTGGCAAAGAATCCTTGGTCTTGAGAACCTGGGTCATACCAGTGTGCACTGTGGATGGTTACAGAGGACTTGTGGATGTTTACCTGCTTTGTATATTGCGATGGTAGAAGAATCAAAATGTGTTAAATCCAACTTGACATTATACTGCTTTCTGTGAAGACTTGAAATAAAAGGCAGAGTCTGTGGCTCCCTGGTTCTCAGAAGCACTCTGGGCTTGCTTAGATGTGGAACGGGGACCATACACCCTGTAAGACCCCTCTGTGAGAACCTCAACATCCCCTACCTACAGGGAAATTAGGGGTGACAGGCCAAGCACTGGTTTGGTCTAGTTTTGTCCCTTGACTTCCTTAGGAACCAGTAAAGCAAAGCACAAGTGGGATTTTTTTTTGGGGGGGGGGCTAGTCCCCTTGTCTCTGAGGGTCACTGAGCCCCATGTCTTGCTTTGACTGCTTGGGTTCCTGCCAGTGGGCTTCAGGTCAGTGGGGTCTCACTGGAACTGGATGCCTGCATCACAAATTCAGCGGAGGATCTGTGGTAAAGCTGGCCTTTGCCACCTCTGGCCAGACACAGAACAAGCCTATTCTCCAAAGTAGGCAGCCTGTCCTACCCTCCCCGCCCCCCATAACTGCCCTAGAGACTCAGAAGGCTCACCTCACTTGGCTGAGACCTCTGGAGTCAAGAGGGGAGCACTGTCCATTCCTACGTGGGTCACCTGACTTCACAGTACCCAGAGCACTGCATCGTTAGTTAACCTCTGTCAGTAGGATGTATACCAGGGTTTGAGTGAGAAAGAGGGTCTGGGGTGGGGCATGGGGGGCTTGACGCCTCCACAGAGGTGCCTCATCCAGCTCAGATGTGATGTTGACCTGTGTCGAGCTCGGAGCTCAAACTTGAGTCTGCTGCGTAAGTATGGGAAGGACAGAGACTCTGCTGGACGGTCGGGCATACTTGATGCCAGCATTGTTTTCATGTCATTTTCCAGCCTCGCTCCAGCCATTCCTGGAGGAACCCAGGGTCCCCACCCCCATTATACCTCAGGCTTGAAACATGGGCCCTGAGGAGTTGCATATAGGTTCTTGGTGAAGATGCCAGCCAGTTTCTCACTCTTAGGCAAAGGGAAAAACATAGCCTGACAGGATCAAGCCACCATGCCAACAGGTTGATACTGCAGTAGGCAGAGGGATTGTGACAGGAGGATCCTTGTGGGATCACTGCCAAAAGGGGGGTAGGAATAGCCGAAACACCCGCCTCTTGTGCCTGTCACCAAACACTGCCACTTTGACTGCCAAGCAGATGCCCACCACTAGAGAACTCTCCTTACAGAGACCACCAGAAAGAGCCCACCTTCCACTCCTGACCTGGCTGCCTACCCCCCAGGAGCTAGGAAGCCTAACAGCCACACCATCTCTTCTCCAGATGATACTCTAAACCAGTGTCATCTGTAGATACTTCCAATGTAGATCAGAACAGGCCTCAATAACTCATGGTCAGTGCCAAGACAAAGTTCTGCCTGGTTCAAGTAGCCTGGTCTACAGGAAGGTGGAGCATCCAGATCCCGCATGGGGACAAAACAGCTGTGGCCCCATTGTGTGTTGTCCCTCTATGTATATCCTGAACCTGCCCTAGAAAGGCAGCCATGTGTCCTCACCACACCCTGATTTGTGGAGAAGTGAGCTCCAGAAAGGGTCAGGGGCTGCTGGCTTGGTGATAGCCCACCACCCATAGTGGCTCCCACCACCTTGTCTGCGGGGCTTTGGGCAGCAGCCAAGGGAGAGGTTCTGGGTATTCTGACTGGACTCAGACAGGAAGGGAAGGGCAGGGTTGAGAAAGAGTCTCAGGAAGGGCCCTGGGTTCTCTTGCCTCAGCTTCTCCTGTAGAATTAAGAGGATTTAAAGGCATTTATTTTTAATGGAATTTCACATCAAAAGAACAGAATAATCTATACCCTAGCAAGTCATCCCTGCTCATGGTGAGCAGAAATGTCATGGAATGCCCCCGGGGTAGAAACCAGAAATAGCACAAGAGCCCTAGCTTAAGCTATCCCTTTAACATGAAGAGAAGGTTCTGCAGGATCTGATCTAGGCAAGTGCCAAGCTCCTACCAGCTTCTCTCCTGGTCATGTCATGCTTCAGCAGCGTACGGCCACACAAGCCCAGTGAGCAGCCAGCAGGGCTGCTGGGATGCACACATAGGGACCTCTTGTTCTCTGGTGTTGGTTACCTTTGCCACATCTGTCCTCTCCCAAGCAGCTGCTGCCCACTGAGAAAAAGGAAGCAGTCCTCAGAAGCTTGGGATCTGAGGGATCCAGCTGGCCACCAGGTGGGTGGGGTTATAGATGGAGCCAGCCAGTGGAGGAGCACAGCCATGCCTCCCAAGCAGACACGGGTCCTGGACTTGTGGCCTTGGCTGGCCCGCTCCCTGGGTGGTTGGGCTTCCATACCCATTCCCAAGGTTCAGGGGTACTGCCAAGAAGTCTCACTGTAGCTTAGCATTGGTTCCCAAAGCTTGGTGGTTAGCCAGACCCTTGGAACACTCCCTCCCTGGAGTATTTCAGTCTTAGCCACCAAACTCAAATAAGCCATCAAGATGGTAGCAGCCCTCAAGTAGAGAGAGAGCCCCTGGGGGGTGGCCTAGCCCCATCACAGCTCAGAGGATCCCAGGGCTGGGGGTTTGGAGCTGCCTCCTCGTCCAAAGGAAGGTTGTAGAAAGTAGTCTCAAGGAGGGGTTTGAACTCAACCCAGCCACAGTGAACTCAGCCCCCTGGCTGCTCTGTGGGTTTTACGAGGTGGGAAGAAGCAGCAGCAGTCCTGCTATTCAGAGCAAGGTTTTATGGCCCCTTCCCACCCATTGGTGCTGTCTGGGAGATTGATGGACTAATAAGGCTGTTCTCTTCCAGTCCAATGACCAGACAGTATGAAAAGGAGGAAGGTGACCATGTGCAAGCCAGGGAAGTTTCCCAGACAGGGTGGACTGCTAAGACCCTTGCCCCTTGGTGCTGGTGTGTGTCCAGCATCCCAGCCAAGCCCCTGTAACCCCATGCAGGAAGATTGGCCAGGGAGAGAGCAGCCTTGTCTTGGAGGTTGAGCCAGTTGGGGGTGTCCATGCCCCTTGTTTTCAAGGAAGCCCAGAAGACAAAAGAAACTAGAGTACATAGTTACTAGAAGGTGGCCTCTGGAAACCTGGCATAGTGTGTGTGTGTGTGTGTGTGTGTGTGTGTGTGTGTGAGAGAGAGAGAGAGAGAGAGAGAGAGAGAGAGAGAGAGATTGGGTTGGAGATACAGCCTTTGCCCTGCAGACAGCTCATAAAATCAGACATGGCCATTTCAGTGCCATGAGATGAAATAGGCTTGGGGTTAATTTCTGAGCTCCAAGGACTGAATAGGTATGGGTACTGGACCTCTCCCACATGTCCTGGGTCCACCTAGTGTCTCTATGTAGCGACCTTACCTAGCCACAGGCAGGATGGAGGATCAGGGAGGCTCGGGGATCCCTAACAGAGACTGTCTATTCCATGGCATTCCAGAAAGGCTATCCACAAGGGAGGTGACAGCCCAGGCCATGTTCTGTCTGGACAACAGCTTATTGTCTCTGTGTGTGGATGTGCCGTCAAGTGGGTGTCTGCCCTGTGGGTTCTGATTTCTTCTTTTTTTTTTTCTTTGTTTTGTTTTTTAAGACAGGGTCTCTCTGTGTAACAGCCTGGAACTCGCTCTGTAGACCAGGTTGGCCTCAAACTTACAGAGACTGATCTACCTTCCTCTGCTGGGATTGAAGGTGTGCATTGCCACTGCCTGGTGGCTTCTGATTTTTTAAGCCACCTTTGCCATCATCTTGTCTATAATTTCCTTCAAGCCCCCTTTTGGATCTGGTGTGCTGCCGCTGTGCCCATGGGGTGGCAGTGGGGATGATGTGCTGCAACCATCCCTAATTGTATCACTGAGAGTCCCAAGTTCCAGAAAGTTCTTTTATACTCCGGTAGGTCCTCCTTTGCTGCCTCCTGTCCAGATGGAATAACCTGTGGAAGTGTAGCCTCTAAACTGGGTGGGACTTCAGGCTTTGAAAGGCTGGAGGGAGCAAAGCCACTTGGGGCTAACAGAGCCTCACCTCCTTCCTCGCCTTCGGACTTGAGTGTTGAAGTCTCTGGAGAGTCAGCAGTATGCCCTGTAAAGGATGGAGACAGCTGTAAGGTTTGCCCAGGGGTAGACCAGAGGAGGCTTTGGGTAGTGGTTGATATTGAATTATAAAAATCAATAGTAAAAGACAGGTGCAGAGATGGAGGTGTCAGCACACCTGGAGGGAGGGGGCACTTTGTGGAGTAGGATGGTGATTGTGCAAAGCCTGGGCACCTGGCAGATGGTGCCCAAGTCTTTAGGATGCATGTCAGAGCACATGGCTCCGGCTACAGAGAGCACTTAACTAGAAAATTCTATTCAGATGCTGGGCTGTAAGTACTGGGAAAAAGCAATAAAGGTGTCACCATGCTGACTGAGGCACAGGGAAAGCAGATGTCTCCTTTAAAGTCACAGATGGCGTTTGGCCTGTTTCACTTGGCACTGTTGGGTAAAACCCCTCCTAAATCAAGCAAGAAGCTGTCTTCATGTACAGGAGACTACAGCCTTCTTCACTCCTCCTCCTCCTCCTCCCATTTCCTTCTCCGTAGATCAAACCTGCACAGAAGCCTAAACTTTGAAAACCAAACAGCTTTCTCTGCCTCAGCCAATGACCGTAATAACACTAATTCCTGTGTTTATCCCCAATAGACAGATCCCCACCGTGGTCCAGCAAACACCCTGCCTCATAGCAGCTGAGGTGTAGTGGCCCTGAAGGGTTGGTTCGGGGGCCCTTGACAAATTCCAAAGTCTGTGAGGCTCATCTGTATAGAAGATGGTGTCATGCACAGCCACTGCACACCCTTCTTAGGCTTGCTGAGTAGCTGAGGTCACCTTGGCTTTCAGAGCCTTCTGTCTCCACTTCTCTGGAGTTGGGACCACAGACATGAACCACCACACCTGGATTCCCATGTTGGACTGCATCGCCGTGCCTTCCCTAAACCATCTCCAGGCTACTTGCGTGAGATGATGTGAACTGGAGATAGTTGTTATGCTGCGTTACGAGGGAGTGAAAAGGAAAAAGAAGTTTGAGTGGGGTCAGCAAACACATTCTTTCAGACTTTCCATTGCAGTTGGTTGACTCACTGGGCAAAGAAT